CTGGACTGTATCAAACTGCTGCTTGTAGCTGTATTTCCCATTTGAGATTTATGGTTATCCTCAATCCACTAACTGTAAGCAAAGTCATTTCCCTGAGGCTACATTCTATTTCCCACTACCTGTCACTTAGAGACTGATTTCAGCTCCTAAAGGTCACTTACAATTCTGTGCCACATAGCATGTATACACAGTTCAAAATAGCCCTTTTCTCCTTCCAAGTCAAGAGAAAAATATCTCTCTGACCCCTTAATCTGTTTTAAGGACTACATAGCTGAACAGGTCAGATTTTTTAAAGGCTCCCTTTGATAGACTCAGGAGATCCATAATTACATCTGCAAGACACCATTGGTCATAGAAAGTAACATTATCAAGGCAGTCTTGTCACTTTTTATGCACAGTTCTTTCCTATACCCAGGGGGAAGTTTATACTCATATAAATGTGTGGGTCATTGAGGGTTATCATACAACTTTGCGTAACACATTAAAGTAAATGCTAGTTAGTGGAAAGAAGAATATCTGAGATTTTGTAATAGGAAATGCTCAAACTGCAAATTATCAAACTTACACGCGGAAGGAAAGCATTTAATGTAACTGCCAGCTCTCAGGGAGCTGAGAGATTTAAGAAGGCAGTGCACATCTTTTTTCACACTAAATGGCAGATATTCAGCTTCCTTGCTACCCAGAAGATTAAAGGCTGCAGAGAAACACCTGTGGTTTTGGATGCAGGGCTGCCCAAAGGCACCAAAGTTATGTCTGAGTCAGCTCATGGAGGGAAAAACCCACAAAGTTAGATGAAATTATGATCGTCTCATTCTACTGTTTAAAGCTTATTTAAAAAGTCTCACCATAGCCTACAGAATAAATTTCAGATCCCTTAATCTGGAATAAAAGGTCTTCCATGGCATATCTGGTCCTACCTTCTTGTTTTCCTCTCATGCATGTATCACACAGAGAGTTTAACAGTTATTTCAGTCACATGCTTTTGGTCTGCATAGATAGAAGAAATGACTTTCTTCAGAAGGCCCTGCTACCTACTTTTACCCCCAACCCATACAATGAATTCCACTCATTGACAGCTATTTATTCAGTAAGCAGACATCTACTGAGCACCTGGATGGATGAATAAAGAGTTCCCCACAAAACAAAGTCAATCTCTGCTTCTTCTGCTCAGAACTGTCGCTAGTTCCTATACTTGTGGCTGAAGGTCTTATACTCACATGTCGCTGTCCAAACTGTGAGTGCATGGAAGAACTATTTTGTTTTATTTGTTTATATTTAGAGTTTTAATTTAAGTATTGATGCAACTCCCCACTCACAATTTGCTGATGGTATTAATGATAATGAAACAGATAATTTCTAAACAAAGCATTTAGTGATCCCTTGTGCTTGATGACATTTTTATATATTGGCTCATATAAAATCCCCACAACAGCATTTTTAAGAAAGTATTACTATCCTCATTTAATGGATAAGGAGACAAATCTCAGATAGTGGAATATTTTTGTAGATTTTTGATATTCTTCATTTTAAGTTCTATAGCAATATAGTCCTCAAAGAGAATCATCAGTATCATTCACACACTTAGACAAGAATACAAATGCATATTCTCAGGTCCACCTCAGACCTTTACCACCAGAAAATCTAGGTTGAGAGACTTATAATCTATGACTCAAAGAACCCTAAATGTGATGGGTAATGCCTGTTAATGTATGGGAACCACTGCCTTATAGTTCAGTATTGAAATCTCTTAGTCAAAGAAGATGAAACAGCAAAATAAAAACAAAATTACTCAGTGTGATCAAGTAGGATTTTTTTCTCATAATGGTCACCTAGACATTTGAAAATAAAATTCAAATACCAGATACTAATGGAGAAAAATATGAGGACATGTGGAGATATTTCTCTTTATACAAAATATTCTCAATGATCTTACTTAATAAACTCAACGCCATTTTAGACTCCCCAGGGAAAGATTTTTGATTGGTTAATTTGGATCTTCAGTTACAGGTTACTATATATTGTGAAATAGGGAGGTATTTTAACTATTTTTTATTGAACTGAATTTATTTGGATTTGATTGCCTCATTTTTTCCCTTTGCTTTTACTAGGGAATATTTTTTTTCACAGCGGCAACTGGTGGTACAGTAAAAATAGTGCAGTCATACTAAGAAGTCAACTTTTCATCTCTAAAAGACCAGAAAATGCATGATAAGGATGAGGCAGTGTTTTTGGCAAAGAGTGTTTGTTAAACAGATTATAATATGGAATGTCAGTTAGCAAATCCCGTGGCAACAAGCATAATGAATGCTTGCACTGTGCATATCACTGCACTTACTTTATTTACATGTGAAGAAAAAGCTATATAAGTACAGTGATAATAAATGCTCTCTACATAACCCTTGTTATGGTTTGTGTCTAGATGTCCCCCCAAAGCCTCATGCACGACATCTAGACAAACCATAACAGCAATGCACGGGAGCAAGTAACATTATAAAGAAAAAAAGGCTTCGTGATTCCTAAATAGAGAAAACAGCCTCATGTTGATTTTGTATGCTTTTAGTCTCAACTTTTGTTACAGTCATGACTCAGATGACATTATAGTGTTTATAGGATCAAATTTCCCACATTTTTACATAAAACAAAGCAAAGAAACACAAAAACCTTCCTTCTCATCCCCAGTGTATGATCAAATACAATTAGCATGGAAAGCGTGTGTCAACTTTGTAACCAATTACGTTCTTTTCTACAAATCTGAGTACACCATGGGCTTCTCATGAGGCTGCAATGTTAGAAACAATCAATCAACATTAATGAAATACTTAATATATTAGAGTCTATAACTTTCTTGATGATACAAGAGGAAAAACCCTTGGGGCACAAACGAAATGCTAAGAAATTGAGAACTGACTAATTATGTCAGAATTAAGGAAGGGATGCATGTACGTCATAAAACAATTCATTGCAATGACTTTGTTGCAGTGCATTTTAAAGAAGTTCATTCTATCATAAACCAAGACTTTCATGGCAAAATACACAGGTGGTGTGTACAGAATCACTGTCTAGAGAATTCTCTTAAGCTACAGAAGCAGATTTCTAGACTTATCCTGCAGTTTAAGGCTTTCCATCACAAATACTTAAGCAGAAAAGTGACCGGAATGGATTTTTGTTATAAGGTAACTGAGAAAGCAGGATGGAGGGTCTATTTAAGGAAAATCAAATTCCAAAAATACTGTAACAAAGATATCCTAGAATGGAGGGTATTGAACACTATCAGAATGTCAGAATCAGGCTAAGTAGTTAATTAAAAATTTATTTTAGGACTGGGGAAATAGCTCAGTGACATAAGCGCCTGCCCAGCAAGTGTAAGGTCATGAGTTCAATCCCTGGTACTACACACACACAAAACAAAAATAGAAAAATTTATTTTAGCAGAGTACAATGTCCAGATTTTGTCATGATTCTTATATTTCTCACATGTGACATATTTTGAACAGTTCAAACACAAAGGTATTGATTACAGTGAAATTCTAGATCAGATTCTGGCTTTGGAATAAATATACAGAGAATAATCAAAATAGAAAATTGGTACATAATTATATAGATTATAATCCTATGATTTATTAGTAATCTATGCAATTCTATAGGCTTGATCTGAAATACTGATTAAAATAAATACTGATTTAAAGAATTAAATCTGATTAGAGTATTAGAATTATAAGTTAAAATAATCAGAAATTTTGGCATAAATTTGTTTCATAGAAAATTATGTTGCACATAATAATGTTACTATACATATGTAAATTATTTTAGTGATCATCATAAATAATTCTTATGTTTATGTGCTAATATATGTGTGATATCAGACTCAAAATATCTGTGTATAGTTTTAAACTAATTTAATCATACTCATACTACTCATTCGCCATATAAACATTTTCTGCCTTTAAAAAATATGTGTATGTTACATGTGTATGCACCTGTGTTCAGAAAGAGAAAGTGAGAAACATATAAAGAGACTGAGGAGGGAGGGAGGAGGAAAGGAAACCAGAGAAGGCAACAAAGGAAGGAGGAAACTAGAAGAGAGGAAGGGAGAGGAAAGGAGAGGAGAGGAGAGCAGATGGGCGAGGAGGGGAGGAGGAGGGAGGAGGGGAAAGGAGAGGAGATGGGGGAGGAGGGGAGAGGTCGGGAGAGGAGAAGAGAGGAGAGGAGAGGACAGGAGAGGAGAAGAGAGGAGAGGAGAGGACAGGAGAGGACAGGAGATGGGGGAGGAGGGGAGGAGGGGAGAGGAGGGGAGAGGAAAGGAGATGAAAGGGGAGGGGAGGGAGGAGAGTGGGGGGGAGAGGAGATGGGGAGGAGGAGGGAGAATGGGAGGGGGGAGGAGGGGAGGGAAGGAGAGGGGATGGGAGGGGAAAGGAAGGGAGGGTAGAATGAGAGAAAAGAGCTTAAATTTGGATGTATAAAGTACTTTATTTTATATTTTTACTGAGACAAGCAATTAATTCTTTTCTTCTATGAAAATTCCAGAAATTAGATTTATTGATGTTTATTTGGTTCTACTTTCAGAACTTTGAAATTCCAGAAACCAACAAGTTGAAGAAATATTTGCTTGATTTTTCTGATTATAATTTAAATATTCTATAGAATAGTTCTGAAATAAATATACCTAATATGAGGTTTTGCTAACTCTTTTCAGGCATGAACCTTTTTTTTCATGTATTAACTCAGTGCCCTCATGTGCCTATGAGGGTTATAACTGTTCCAGTCATGTTTCACACAAGGGAAAAGTAAGGCACATAGAGATTATATTCATACACCTAGTGAAATTACCGATGTTAATAAATGGGTAAAACTGTCTCAAACTGAATTCAATCTGAAAACATTTATATGGTTTAAAAATATGTAGAACACGTTGTTTACATGTTCCCTAATAACTGTAAGGTATTCACTAGTGTATTCACAAGTGCATTCGCTAGTGTATTCCGGGACTTGCCCGTTCTTACCTTTGATTTCCTTGTCGTTTTTGAACCACCGTATGTCGGCGGCAGGCTTGCTGCCAGAGGTCTTACAGGTCAGCTGCATCAAGTCCCCTTCCATCACCGGGGAGGAAAAACCACTGATTTGTGGCTTCTCGGGAACGCCTAAAATTAAAACAAATGTATGATGTGATTATTGCTATAAACTGCTGTAGGAATTTTCAGGTATGCATGTGTAGTTTTCTTAATATTTCTAACACTAACTTATTTTAAAGTAATTTTTAAAATTAAATTGTAAAATTTTGTCTGCAAAAATGCTATGAACATATTAAAAACAATCACTCAGAGTATATTGCTTTACCAGTATAGGAATTTAAGAATATAGATTTTACTGAAGGAGGCAAATCCAGAAAATACACTCTTTCTTAACAAATTATAATTTAATTAATACAGCACCTTTCTAATTTAGTTAATGTGCACCATTCTTTCCTGATTTTGTAATTTTCAAAGCTTAAAACCTTTATTACAGACTATGTACTGTGTTCAAGCAAATAAATTTTAGAATAACAGATTCATCAATAGTCACATCTGTATTATTGCCCTTGTTCATTGTAAGACAGAGAATGGTTCTTTATATGAAAAATGCAACTGTAGTTTTTGGAAGCATGATGTATGTTATTTTTAATCCTAGCCTTGCTACCTTTTCTTGTTCAGATAACCACAAGCAGATGACTAATATATATAAATAAGACACAGCTGATTTTAAAAATAGAATTTCACACATTTCCTGGACAATATTACTTAGTTGTCATAGTCAAGGCTGTTTCAATAATAAAGGCAGACTAATACTGGGAAGTACCAATATAAGAAATGTGATGTAATACAACAAGAACAACAAAGATAAATAATAAATCTACATATTACATTAGCAAGCTACTTGGGAGTTTTGTCTTCATCTTTATATTGCCTTTGTGCTCTTTAAAATTTGTTTTAAAACTATGTCATCCCTCTATTTAATAAACTGAATTCAGCAATCATCTATTCTTTGAATCTCAAGTTGGTTTTCTACAGAAAAATACATTAACCCTAGGCAGTTATTATCCTAAAATATTCCATTGTAGTGGGTGTATTTTGTCGTTAATGACAAACTTGTGAAGATTTCCATAAAACAGTCCCAGTGAGACTTGGCACAGAGCAAATTTCATATCCTAAGCACAAAACCAATTCATTTGCTGGATTAGCTTTACTATTCTCTCCCAAAAGAACAGTATGTATCAGTCCTTTTAAACAGAACCTTGTGCCTGTATCTTAAAAAAGAAAGCAAGCTAGGGGCACAAAAAATCAATCTTTAAATTCCTCTAACTTGTTCAGTGCACAGGTGTGTTTCAATGAACTGCAGCAATTTCAGCTGATTGGGGCACTGACGTCTGTGGAATCACAGAGAGCTTTGAGCTGCAACTTTATTTCCTCACAATCTCTATGAATGTATTGCTTTTCCATGTCACTTTAACCTTTTAGAAAATGGCCCAATACTTAGAGAATAAAAGCTCAAAGAAGCTACAAGCTGCATGCAGAAGTGACTTGATGTGCTTCACTTAGAAATGCAGAAAATACAAATTGAGGAGGAAAAAAGACACATGGAAATGTCAGGGCCATTGAAATGCACTAAATTACACAAACAGGTCATTTTTGAAAGCCACAGGTTATCAGGATGGCCGCTATCAGATGACTTGCATGATAAAATGAAGCAGCACAAGATATCTCACTGTTCTTTATACTGTCACTTAATAAAAGATTCAGAATGCACATAATATATGGATGATTTCATCAAAAGAAATTTTAACTGCAAATCATGAAAATGGGTGTCTGTTACTACTTATGAAAAAAATGGCTATGTGCCTTGCAGCAAGCGTGTAAGCATTTATAGTACCTTTTTTCCATTTGTAAAATGGAGAATGTGACCAAGTTCTTTGAAATGTCTTTTATTATAGTGTAGTGGACAGAAAAATTAGAGTATATCTTTTAACACAACCTTCACAATACCTTTGTCTTACGGAAAGGTGTGGCTATCGCTGTACGCAGCACTCCAGTTTGCGGTTCCATGATGTGAACCCCTCACACTTACCCAGAACGGTGAGATAGGCCTTGGAAGTCTTGACAGGCATTGTAAATAAGGAGCAAGTGTACTGTCCTTCATCCGAGAGCGACACGTCACTGACACTGATGCTCAGTTCGTGCCATGAAGCGCGAACCAGCTCGATCCTATTGTCCCTTAAAGCTGGAAAGAGAAAATATGGAAAATGCAACATTAGACACAGTCCATACATTTAGACTATGCATTTCAATATGGTAAAATAAACACTATATTTGAGCACGCATCTCTATCTTACCTTCTGAAACTGTTGAAGGCACGTTTAAATGTATTGCAATATTTTATCAGACTTTTAAAATCAAAGTAGGATTAAGTGTTCTTTAATGTTCTCAGAAATGTTTTTAATTAAATGATTACATCTAGTACAATAACTTGAATGAGGTGAGGATGGCGATAATAAAAATAGCTTTCCTTCGCAAAATCTTTAGTTCAATGCCAATGCCCAGAAAGACTATGAACAAACTGGGTTCACTTCTGTGGGCAGATAAATTTGGAAAATATGATTGCTATATGTTTTCTAAGACAGTGATAAAAAATAATCCCATATTAAAAGTCTTTGCCGTAGTTCTTACTGAACGTTACTTAAACCAGATTTGACATTTAATTGAAAAGCATCTGTAAGCTACTTGACACTCAAATTTTCTGATTGTGTAGTGCACTCTGTGTGTTTGTCCTTTGGTGCAAATTGCTTTCTGTCTCAGAACATTTGATTCACAAAGTACTGTTTATACTCTTGTAGAATTATGATTCTCTTCATTAATCATATGGGAGAAATGAAAGAAGCTTAACCATCATAGAGTGCTCCAGTAAGGACAGCTATTAAATCTGGAATTAAGCAAGAGATAACCAGGAGTACTAGGAAAGACAGGAAGAGGAATGAGGATTTGCTAGGGACATCAGGAGGGAGGACGCCACAGAGGGTACTAAAACAATGCAGAAGTTGAGTTAGGTAAGGCCTCTCCCAACCACAGCTTAGCAAAGTAAGGTGGCCCCAGTGAATGCATTTCTACTGCTGATCAAATGGGAGTCTCCAGCAACATCAGAAAAGACTATCTTATGTGGAGGAAGATGTCCCTCAGACAAAAAGCCTGAGGGAGCTTTATCTTTCTTCGTCAGGCCTGAGATGTGCTTTCTTTATCCAGACACAATGTACAAGTGGGCAGCAGGGCAGCGGGCAATGAGCATGCTCCACAGTCAGCACCCAGCTCAGGAAATGCCACTTCCTATGGCCCGGGGAGGCCCTTTTCCCGCCAAGAGATCCAGGCCAACTCACCTGAGGAAGCTTCTTTGCCCTCTGAGGTGGCATTAGTAGAAATCATTGTGACCCTCAATTGGAACCGGACAAGCCAATTTGACTAAATAGCTTAACAAAGTGTTTGAAATCAGTCAAATTATTCTGAAAATTGATGTAAGTTAGGACCTGTGTGGTAAGCCTACACAGCTCCTGGAACAGAAGATTGAAATAGCATTCAGAGCCTCCTAATGTAATAACCAAGCTGTGTAGGCAAGACTTAGAAAGTCATTCGTTACAACAAATACCTAGAAAATCATGAAATAAATGAGAAAAGGTAGTCAGTAGAATCCAACAGTGAGCTGAATCAGATATTAGAATTATCTGACAGAGGGGCTGGGGATTTAGCTCAGCGGCAAAGCGCCTGCTTGGCAAGCGCAAGGTCGTGAGTTTGGTTCCCGGTACTAGAGAAAAACCAAAAAGATAAAAAATAAAAAATAAAAAAATAGAATTATCTGACAGAGTTCATCTAGCCTCTTATAAAAATACATTAGCAAATCATTAGTAATTATCTTGAAATATATGGAAAAGTAGAAAATTCATCAAGAAAACAGTTATTAAAATCTAAGTCATAGAAATAAATATTTCAATTGCCAAAATAAAATTCTACTGCATTGGCTTAATAGTTCAATGGCGATTACAGAAGACAGCATTAGTAAATTTAGTTAGAGCAGTAGAATTCACCCAATCTCAGCAACTGAAAGAAAATGAGATGAAAAATAAAAAAGGAAATAACACAAGAGACCCCAGGGAATCTGGAAGGCAATAAAATGATATCCACCACTGATACAAATAGAGTTGCAGAAAGAAAGAAGAGAAAGAATGAAGCTGAAAGAGTCCTGAAAAAAACAATCACTGAAAAATTTCCAAATTTGGTAAAAGACAAAATTGTATGGAATCAAGAAACTGAAAAAATCCTCAAAAAAGAAAAATCCAAAGTCCATTTCACCTCACATAAGTGAAAAGAAGTTTCTGAAAATTAAAGACAGAAAAGAGCTTTAAAACATCATAGAGAAGAACATGTGGTGTACGGGAACTAAATACAAATGACACAGTATGGTTCCCCTTTGAAATCATGGAGGTCAGAGGAAGAGGCATGTTTTTCAAGTACTGAAAAGAAAATAATTACTATGCATTCTTTACCAGTAAATTCATCCTCAGAATCACAGGAAAATAAAGATATTCTCAGATGAAGTAAAACTAAGAATATTTGTTTCTGGTAGACTTGTCTTAAATACCCACTGAAGTACTTCAAGCAGAACTAATGGAAGAAGGGGCCGTAGAGCAGCAGGAAGAAGAAAAATGAGGATGAACATTAAGAAAAACATCTAGGGGGGCTGGGGATTTAGCTCAGCGGCAAAGCGCCTGCCTGGCAAGCACAAGGTCGTGAGTTCAGTTCCTGGTACCGGAGAAAAACAAAAAAAAAAAAAAAAAAAGAAAAACATCTAGGAACAAATACTTGCCTTCTCCCAAGGTTTTTAAATTATATGGTGATTGAAACAAAAATAATAATAATATCAACTGATACAGTATTCAACATAGGGGAGGAATTCTAGCACAGATAAAAAGGGGGTTGCAGAGGAAGACCCAAGGAAGTAAGGCTCCTATACTTAAAGTGATAAAATGTTGCTACCTGAACAATGTGATAAACCACATGCATTCAGACGTGTGATAAAAATATCTGGTCATTTTTTAAAATTAAAAATGCAATAAAAGATATATTGCCATTAATTTCCTTCAACACATACTTTCTTGGTTCAAACACATTTATCCCTTTGTTCTCAATCACTTTCAGAAATATTTCTGGAAGCCCTTTCATGAGGGTCTTTAGGAGGTGTGATCAGAAATGCAATGAATGCTGTCGCTGAGTGCCATCCAGCAGAAAGGCAGGCTTGTTAAATGTGAAACATTAAAGTGTACGCTTATCCACCTTATTCACTAGATCTGGTACTGAGTGACTTCTGAGTTTTCCTCAAAGTAAAAATGACCATGAACGGTCATTGTTTTAAATTGATTAAGGCATAGCGGTAGCACAGCAGGCCAACCAAAGACGCTCGTGAAAGTGGCAAGGACAGAATCTGTTCAAAGTGAGGGAGAGTATTATGTTAGGAAGTACTAATAAGATGTGTTTTACTGTAATTACTATTTTAATTTAAACATGTTTTTAAACCATATCTCCTGGATTGCAGCCCCCAGTGCAGCCACTATGAAAAGACTACAAAGTGATACACTGAAAAACATAAGTAAGTCAAGATAGAATACATTTATAAAATGTTTTCCAGGAACAAAATTGAAGAAGTAGGAAACAGATCAGTGTTAGCCAAGGGTTAAGGACGGTAACAGGTAGAGGGGTGTGACTGTGGTTTCAAATGATAGCAAAAAGTTTCCTGGGCTGACGGGCATGCCGTGTGTCTTGAATGATGATGAATACAGGCAGGTATGCACATATTAATGCACATGTGTACACATGTATGAGCATATGAGTGACGTGTACACACACAGGCTCACAAATATGAGAACACGTAAAACTGGCAAAAACCAAACAAGACTGATGAACTATTTCAGTATTTATTTCTTAGTTGTGGTATTTTTTCATAGCTCTGCAAAGTGTTACTTGAGGGAAAAGTACAAGAAAATTCTCTATATTATTTCTTATGAATCTACAATTAAAGTTGAATTTTTAAGAAGTATATACATTTGGTAAGAGTAAGGCGAACTATTAGAAGAATATCAAAGCCAAAACTTCAGTTGTACATTTTTATTATATAAGAGAATCCCACATGCCAAATATTTTTAAATTACCTGCACCTTCCTTGTATGGCTCATGAGCAGAGTGATTATAAAATATACCTTTGTGAAAATTCTAAAATTTTATGATTTTTTATATCCTTAAGAAATGATCCCCTTGAAAACTCAAATAAGAAATATCTACATTATTGCATCTCTTTGTCGTCATTCTTTTTAAATTCTAATTCCATAAGGATACATATGCATGCAAATATTTTAATCCTAGTTTTTATTGGTTATGAAAAATAAAGTAGGTCTGATTATGACTGTAATTGTATCTCTAGTAGGACATAGCAGACAACTTTTATAAATGTGTATTTCATACACTGTCTCTTCTATACCATAATAAACTCACTGTTCAGTTACCAGAGGAAAACATGGGGACATAAATTTATTATTTTCATAATAGGAATTAATGCTATATTAACCATTTTCAAATTTATGATTTAATAATATATAGATTTATGTAATATATACATATACCTAATTTTCATAATTTAATATATATTATATTCTTCATATAACTTTATGTTCTATACTATCATATATTTAGATAACATTTCATTTTTAAAGTGACTTTCAAAAGGGAAATCCTCAAGCCTTGCTGTAATACAACATGAATAAAACACAATCCCTACCCCTTCGTTCAATTACATTTCTGGTAACACAGATCCCACTGACAGAAGCAGAACTTAACAATTTTCAGTGAAATGTGAGAAAAAAATTTAACTCTCCTTAGGCCAAACTATTTTGCAGAAACTATAGTCACAAGAGATTACTCAATGCATATAAATATAAAACTTTCATAATTGAATCATTTGTATGGAATAAATTTTAAAGCATTTAATCAAAAGACTAAGCTCAAACCTGTATGAGGTTTGGTTTCTGGTGAATACTATCTCTTGGCTCACTTCCATTCACTGTCATCTTCTCATTATCATATGAGCTGAATGATATCCCGTAGTAGTGCCTTAAATGCATTTATAATGATGGTATTAAAATCTTTGGATGTGGAATCTTGATGAAAACCTAAGTATTTTAATATCTA